CAAGGAGTTAAAGTTCGGAGAAATCAGCAAGATGGAACTAGTGTGTGATAACCAAGCTGCTCTTCATATTGCGTCAAATCCGGTGTTCCATGAGAGGACTAAACACATTGAGATCGACTGTCACTTTGTCAGAGAAAAAATACTTTCAGGAGATATTGTTACAAAGTTTGTAAAGTCGAATGATCAACTAGCAGATATTTTCACTAAGTCTCTTACTGGTTCTCGTATTAGTTACATGTGTAACAAGCTCGGTACATATGATGTGTATGCACCGGCTTGAGGGAGAGTGTTAGTTTATAGATATGTATAGTGTAGTCTTGTCCCACATTGAAAGAGGAGTAATATCTCCTTGTAGTGTATAGCTATAAATAGGGACCTCTTGTATTGTATTTATTCATCCAATATCAATAACATATTTTCTCCCGTGCCTTCTCACAATTTCCAATAGACCCGAGGCTCAGGAAGGGCAAGAAGAAGAAGAGGAAAGCAAGGAAGGAAGAAAGATGGAAGAGAAAAGAAAAGGGAGAGATAAAGGATAAGTAGTACCAAATAATAGCAACAGGGAATACAATACCTGAGGCGAACAAAACCACATAACGTAATAAAAATCTAAGAATATAAAGGGACATGCATGCTACTAAGACTATCGGTGAACAACTATAAACTACCTACTAACCTTCTACCTTAATCCTCGACCTCCACACCTTCCTATCAAGGGTCATGTCCTCAGTGAGCTGAAGCAGCGCCATGTCTTGCCTAATCACCTCTCCCCAGTACTTCTTAGGCCTACACCTCTTCTCAAGCTCTCCATCGCCAACCTCTCACACCTCCTGACAGGAGCATCAATGCTTCTTCTCTTCACATGTCTGAACCATCTCAGCCTCGACTCCAGAATCTTGCCCTCCACGGGGGCTACTCCCACTCTGTCCCGGATAGTTTCATTCTTAATCCTATCTCTCCTGGTACACCCACACATCCATCTCAACATCCTCATCTCTGCTACTCTCATCTCCTGCACGTGGGAGTTCTTGATTGGCCAACACTCATCCCCATACATCATAGCCGGTCGAACCACCACTCGATAAAACTTACCCTTAAGTCTTAGCGGCACATTCCTATCACACAAAACACCGGAAGCGAGCCTCCACTTCATCCATCACGCTCCGATGCGATGTGCGACATCTTCGTCAATCTCCCCATTACCCTGGATAATAGACCCGAGATACTTAAAACTCGCTCTCTTAGGGATAACTTGAGCATCAAGCTTAACCTCTACGTCTGCATCATGGGTCCCATCACTGAATTTGCACTCCAAGTATTCTGTCTTGGTTCTACCGTAACGCCGCTAACCTCCAAACACCTCCACAGGACCTCCCTCAGAACTTTATTGTATGCCTTCTCAAGGTCAATAAACACCATATGCAAATCCTTCTTCCTCTCCCTATACTGCTACACTAATCTCCTTACCAGATGAATCGTTTCCGTAGTCAAACGCCCCGGCATGAATCCAAACTGATTCTCAGAAATAGGCATGCACCTTCTCACCCTGGCCTCCACCACCCTCTCTCAAACCTTCATAGTGTGACTCAACAACTTGATACTCCTATAATTGTTGCAATTTTGGATATCACCCTTGTTCTTGTAAAGCGGAACCATCGTACTCCACCTTCATTCTTCGGGCATCTTCTTTGTCTTAAAAATAACATTAAACAGCCCAGTGAGCCACTCTAAACCTGCCCGCCCTGCGCTCTTCCAGAATTCCACCGGGATTTCATCTGGCCCCGTCGCTCTGCCCCTGCACATCTTACACATCGCCCCTTCCACCTCCTCTACCGTAATCCGCCTACGGTACCCAAAATCCCACTGACTCTCGGAGTGCTCCAACTCACCCAGCACAATGTGTCTATCCCCCTCCTCATTCAACAGTTTATAGAAGTATGTCTGCCATCTTCTCCTAATGAGTGCCTCGTCCATCAACACTTTGCCATCCTCGTCCTTGATGTACTTGACTTGGTCTAAGTCGCGGGCTTTCCTCTCCCTCACCTTGGCCAACCGGTACAACCTCTTGTCCCCGCCTTTGCCCTCGAGCTCCTCGTACAAACGAGCAAACGCCGCGTTCTTAGCCGTCGTAACTGCTAACTTTGCCTCTTTCTTTGCCTTTCTGTAACACTCCCGATAAGTCATTTTTTCCTCCACGTTTGTACTCTTTACTAGCTTCAAATAAGCAGCTTTCTTAGCTTCCACTTTACCTTGAACCTCTCCATTCCACCACCAGTCCCCTTTATGAAGCCCTTCGTGACCCCTAAGACCTCTCTAGCAGCTACCCTAATGCAATCCGCAGTCGTCAACCACATACTAGACGCGTCCCTCATACCCATCTAGGCCCTCATAGCCAACAACTTCTCCCTTAACTCCTGAGCTTTGTCCTTGGTCAAGTTACCCCACTTGATCTTAGGTTGCCTGCACCCTGCCCTCTTCCTCCTACTCCTCTTGATCTCCAGGTCCATAACTAGGAGCCTATGTAGAGTCGTGAGGTGCTCACTTGGGATGACCTTGCAGTCAGTGCACAGACCTTTATCGCATTTCCTGAAGAGAAGATAATCAATCTGAGTCTTGCCCATTGAATTTCGGAAAATGACCAGGTGCTCTTCCCTGTTCAGAAAACTCGAGTTAGCTATAACCAAATCAAAAGCTCTAGCAAAATCCAACAGTGAATTACCTCCCTCATTCTTATCCCAAAACCGTACCCGACATGCACATCATCATAACCCCTAGCACTAGCCCCTATATGACCATTGAAATCTCCGCCAATGAACAACTTCTCTGTGTGCGGGATACTACGCACCATCTCGTCCAAGTCCTCCCAGAATTGCTTCTTGACCTCCTGGTCCAAACCTACCTGAGGAGCGTATGCACTAATCACGTTTACAGTAAACCCACCAACTACCGGCTTAATACTCATCAACCTATCATTTACCCTCTTAACCTCAACCACGAGCTCCCTGAGGTCTCTGTCTACTAAAATACCTACCTCATTCTTACCCTTAGCGATCCCTGAGTCCATCTAGTCTCTTGAACACACGCTATGTTGATCTTCCTCTTCTGAAGAATCTTACTTAACTCTATAGACTTCCCCGTCAACGTCCCAATGTTTCAAGACCCAATTCTCAGCCTAGAGGCTTTCTTACCCCCCTTCCCACCCCTGGACCCCACCCCCAACCCCACCCGAAGGAAAATTACGCAAAATTGTGCAAAATTGCAGGAATTCTGGAAGTTGGGCCCCCGAAATGAAATCCGGCTAAAAAAGGAGCAATCTAAGCACAAGGCAATAAAGTGCACAGCAAAAATTGCTGACCACAGAATTCCATCTGCGACCGCAAACAAAGAAGGAAAAATTTGCAGGCATTTGTGCAAATTGCGGACCACACATGAATTGTGTGGCCGCAAAATATGGGCTAAGGGTCAAGATTAGAGAGTGCAAAAGGACCAAATCCAGGACCTCAGTCAATTGCGGACCGCAATATATTTGTGCGGCCGAAGAAGATTGCCTTGCGGCCGCAATCCTAATATTTTGTACCGTAGAAGAGAGCCTTGTGGCCGCAGTTCCTAATATTTCGGACCGTAGAAGAGAGCCTTGCGGCCACAGTTCTTAATCTGCGGACCGCAGAACAGTTGCCTTGCGGTCACAGTTTAGAAATGTCCGGCCGCAGAACCCCAGTTCCTGCCATATGAAGAAATCTACGGACCGCACATGGAATTGTGCGGCCGCAGAACTTCCCGAGGGGTATTTTTGTCCGAGATTTTCAGGCTAGTATAAATAGACGAGTTTCACAAAATTAGGTCAAGTTTGAACATCTGCAATTACTGTAGCCGTTTTTCTTTGCCATTTTTTGGAAGTTTACTTTGGTGTATTTTACAATAGATTTAATCATTTTAAGATTTCATTATCAGTTTAATTAGCCTTTCTTCTCTATTTTCTTCAAACCCAAGTATGAGTAGCTAGATTTTCACTAGGGTTGTGACCCAACCCTTGTGTGTAAACCTTATGGGTATTTAATTTATTGCATGTTTATGATTGGGAGTTTATTATTTAGCTTAGTTAATGCTTTAATTGTGGAATTAATGGTTGAAAACATTAGTTCATGCCTATTTGACTTAGTCTCTTCTTGAGAAAGAGCCTAGTCTAGGATAACTTAGCTAACAAGGAATTGGGTCAATCGAGAGATTGATTAACCCAATTAAAGGATTCAACCTAGAGATAGTAATAACCCGACTTGAGCTTTTATCAACTGTTTTGAGTGGGTAATTTAGAGTTGATAGCTATAATACACCCAGTCAACAGAACAAACATTAAAGTCTTTATCCCATTAGGCAAACACCTAGGCAATGGCCACAGCTCTAGGCTTTTTATCAATTTGGAAAAACCTCAAAAATAATTTTCTCTAGTCTTCTTTCTATATTCTGCAATCAATACAGTAAAATTAGAAATAGAAAACCAATCTTTTTGTGGAAGTGCAATCTAGATAATTCAATCACGCACATTGAAATATATACCCCTAACTCCCATCTTAGCTCCCTATGTATTCGACCCCGACTCTTAGTTGGGTTTTATTATTGCAAACGATCGTTATATCTCTATTGAGGTGTGCATTTGGACGCGATCAGGGTGCAGCACCAAAAGTGAAGCAACATATGTATCAGGAGGGCTAGGATTAACATAGAAATTTTCATATATAAGGTACTCCATTTTATTCAATATCACCCTAGCTTTGACTTAAAAAATCATTGTATCTGAGAAGATATCTTGAGAAGTTTTGTGCACACGATTAAGAACTAACGTAGACTCCCACTCATCCGGAAAAAAATAAAGACACTCATCCATGGATTTTTTTGACACAACGCCTTATGTTGTGTTGAAATGCCATGCAAGATACCGATTTCTTTTTTTGTGGGGGGGGGGG